TGGAATTAATTATGTTATTTGGTTGATTTTCGTTAGATTTTTTTCCGATACAATATTAAAGATACTTTATATATTTATTTATTCAAAAAATTTATCTATATATATTTCAAAAATATGAAAGAAGAAAAATATATAAGCGTGGGATCATATTTTTTCATTCAAATATTCTTTTTTAATCATGGAATTAATTATGTTGTTTGGTTGATTTTATTATAATTTATTCGTTAGATTTTTTTCCGATACAATATTAAAGATATTTTATTTATTTATTTTTTCCAAAAAATTTATCTATATATATTTCAAAAATATGAAAAAAGAAAAATATATAAGCGTGGGATCATATTTTTTCATTCAAATATTCGTTTTTAATCATGGAATTAATTATGTTGCTCGGTTGATTTTCGTTAGATTTTTTTCCGATACAATATTAAAGATATTTTATTTATTTATTTATTTATGTATATATTTATTTCAAAAATACGAAAGAAGAAAAAGAAAAAAAGTAACGCGAGATCAGATTTTTTAATTCAAATATTCGTTTCAAATCTTTTTTTTTCATTTATATATTCAATCTATTAATTTATTTATTCAAAAAGCAAACTAACATCTTTCAGTACGTTTAATTTAATCTCAATGAAATCATCTCAATGAGACCATTTTTTCTAAACAAATTGTGTTTCAAACAATTTTTTTTCAACCTATCCAATTTCCTTTAAAACACACGTTTATTAATAATTATTATTAATAACAAGATAAACAACTAATAGACATTTAATTTAATTTTACCTGGTGTGTGTGTGTGTGTGTGTAGGGGGGGTAAATATCTACCCCAATTAGTAGTTTTAGGGGGTTAAAAAAAATCGGAATTTTTTTGTTCTTTTTCATCTGATTTGATCTATTTTTATTTTCTCTCTACTTTTCGTCTATTTTTTTCTCTTTCATCATCAAGGTTCGATTGTGGAAGTGGTGCTGGTACCGTTAGAAGCACGCAAACGGTAAAACTCAACGAGTGGAACACTTTGAGCGTCTATCGGCATCGTTGGGATGCCTGGATACAGCTGAATCAGGAAAAACGTGTGCAAGGAAGATCAGAGGTGAGTTTTTTTTTTTTTTTTTCTCTTTTTTTTTCTTCTTCTCTCTCTCACTCTCGAGGTTATCTTGATATCCAACACGACACCGTTTATTTTTAAAGCGATGTAAATTCATTGTTTTTTCTTTTCTTTTCTTTTCTTTTCTTTTAACCCTTTGAATACTATGGACGCATATATGCGTTTGGTAAAAATTGTTACGCGTGTGTTTGTCAATGTTAATATAAAATAATGTAATATTTTAATTGTATCTTGTCAAATGAAAATAATATTGGTGAGAAAACACAATAATTGTAATTATTAAATATAATTTATTAATATTAGCATCTGGTAACGTTAATTCATTCGTAGAAAACAATTCAATTAAAAGTATTCAACAATCAAATGGTTAAATATGATATCACATAACTTGTAATTAATTTAATCGAAATTTTTGTTGTTGTAACTACTCATTATAGTATTTCTGATTAATTTACATTTAATTCTCAACACACCTTTTTTTTAATTTATAATTAATAATGAGTAATATTTAATATATCTTGAAAAATATGTGTGTGAAATGTTTTGTTTAAAATTTATTTATCAAACAAATGAAATCACGTAGCTATTGATTGTAAATATTTAAATAAACTAATGGAAATTAAGTTAATATTAAAAAAACATTTTAAAAATTTGTTCACGAGATTTAGAGTTACATTTTCATATCCTATCTGACAACACATCTCTTACATTCAATTAAATAATATAATATATATATAATTATAATTAACATTCACTTAATGAGATAATATATGCTGTTATTATTTTATTTCCGGTATTTAAATTCGTCTTAAAAAAAAAAAACAAATATTTATATAATCGAATATATTATATTGATAAATTAATAAAAACATTGCCACACATACTCGATATAATTAATTTATATTTTTTTAAATTAGATTAATATATATATGTTCTCTAACCTTTTCATTTTATTGAAATGACATAAAATATATTTTTATATCACTTTCAAAATAAACGTTTCATATGTCCTATTTATTTTTACCACCCACCATCCCACCCCCCACCACGAGACTATTCAATTTTTGTTCATTTACTTCGATGATCGATTTATCAAATTCTTTGTTTTACTTGTACACGTGTATAAATTTTAAGCTCGTTCGTTTTAAATAGATAATGAGTTAAGTTAATTGGCTAACAGGTGAATCAATAAACTCTGTTGTCAGAAATTTATGAAATTTCTTCGAAACTTTTTTTTTATTAACTTTCTTTCTTTATTTTATGTTAATTTGTCAAGGCCAACGAGCTCGTTATTGCATTAACACTCGTCTTTCTCTTTCGATTAATCTTTCCTTAATGAATTCAAAGATAAAAGAAAAAAGAAATGAAAAGAAAAGAAAGTTTCAGTAATAAGAAAAAAGATAAAGTTAGTCAAAGAAATATCTGACACGAATTCGAAAGAGAATATTTTTTTTATACTATAACGAACGCAATGATTTACGTGAAAAGAATTTATTTTTTCATTTTTTGTGTGTGTGTTTGTATATGTGTAAAGTATATGCACGTTCCTTTTTTACTTTTTTCAAACGCGGAGACAAATTTATCGGTTCGATGTTTTAAATTTAATCATACGTATATAATTAAATTCTTGATATATAAATATTAGAAGAAGAAAATAAAAATAGAAATTAAATAGACAAAAATATAAATGAAGTAATGATAAGACATTGTAAAAAACAACTTTGTAAGTATAAAAAAATATTAAAAGTATATTCTCATAAAAACAAATTGCAATTTAATTTTAACTTATAGAAAATATATATTAACAGTGAAAAATATTAATATGTTGCTAATATTTGAAATATAATGAAATTCTTGATATATAAATATTAGAAGAAGAAAATAAAAATATAAATTAAATAGACAAAAATATAAGTAATGATAAGAAATTATAAAAACAAATTGCAATTTAATATTAACTTATAGAAAATATATACTAACATTGAAAAATATTAACATGTTGTTAATATTTGTCAAATATAAAATGAATCCACGTGAAACAGCAAATCTGTGTATACTGCTTATAGATACCTGTATAAAACAAACTGTTTGTGTTTTATTTAACTAACAATAAATTACACACACATAAATAACTTAATATAATATATAATATATAATAATAATATATATATAAGTTATATAATTATATTCAACAAATCAAAAACAGATCAACATTTTGTTTAAAGTATTTTCTTTCTCATGTTATAACAAAATACTTCTAAAATCCTGACTAGAATTATATGGGACACCCTATATATAACGAGGATGAGATGAAACGTCTTCTTAATCGTCGAGTCGCGAAGTCTTTGAAATCTCAGTGCTTTAAACGTTCCCAAAGAGTCCGACGTTGATTCATGAGTCGAGGAAAGCTAGCAACCAAGTACTAGCGATGAGGGGGGATGGGTGGGGGGAGAAAAAGGAGTAAAGGGGGCAGCGGGGGATGAGTTAGCAGTAGTTACGAACATTTTCCACTAACTTCGAAGTAAAATTTTCAATTGAGCCGCGTATTTAAAGTCCGTTTCTCTCGAGTTCCTTTTTTTAACCCCCCACCCCCACCTCCCACCCCCTTTATTCCTACGACATTAATGTCACCCTCTCTTTCCATTTCTCTCGTTATTGAATTTTAATACAAATTTGACAATATGTGTGTTACATTTTTTATAAATATTATTTAAACACTGTTAATTAATATTCCTTTTTCTCTCTTAATTTTTTGTTTTTCATTTTTAATGTTCATTTTTTTCTTCTTCTTCTTCTTTCTAGTTTTTTGTTCAGATTTTATTTTTAATTAATGCACTTTGAAAAAAAATTCTCAAATGAAAAAAAGAAGGAAAAATTTCATCGAGCTGAGTAATACGAGAGAGAGAGAGAGAGAGAGAGAGAGTGCACACATTATGAAATTTAATATTTATTCGTAAGCATAGTAATGAGAAAGACAGACTGACTGAAAGAGAGAGAAAGAGAGAGAGAGAGAGAGAGAGAGAAAGAGAGAACTGGATTGTACGATCGTTAATGACAGAATGCAGTGGAATTCTCGACGATATTATAGAAATGTTGGTCCTTTATAATTCTCGGTTGGGTGCTTGCGTAATCATAATTCACAACGCTCATGACGTTACACTCCAGACGGTGCACACTATTAATTCAATATGTTTGAGTACACCCATACATATGTGTTTACATTATACATGTCCCATTTAAAAATATTATATTCACAAGTATATCTTTCAAATAATTATATTCGAGATATCAAAAAAAAAAAAACAATTGCAGTTAATCAAACTTTGACAATCACAACGAGGTTAATTATATTTTTTTCATTTTTGGTATACTTTTAAAATCATTTATTTTGATATAATTGACCGTTTGAGTTTTGTAATTCGAACGAAATTAATAAGTGTGTTCCAAGGGCGCATATATGCGCTTACCATTGATTTCTTTCTATCCCTTTTTTTGCTCTTTTATTTTGTGTCGAAATGATTTTTTGATATTCGTGGTATCATCAATCTTCATTCGAGGATAGAAAATACGGTGTCGAGTTATTTGAAAAGTTATGGTTTTTTTTTCTTCTTTTTGCACTGTGATTCTATTTGTTTACAAATGTTTTTTACTTCGATTTCTTTTTTATACGAAAACACGAATAGTTTTTGAATGATATATATCCACGTGGATTGATTCAAATTGAAAATACTCTGTATGTGTGTTCAAACACACTCACACATACAGACAAACATTTCTATACTCTTTTTTTGCACAATGTATCGAGAAAATTTTGGGGTAGGGGTTATGGGGTGGTGGGGGTGGAGGGGAGGGAAAGCAAGAATGAAATTCCGTTTGAAACGAAAATTCATTGCACTTCGTTAACGTACGAGTAGCATCCACTTGTTATTTTTTTCGATTAAAAATGAATAAAAAAAAAGAAAAAAAAAAGGAATACAAATCTTAATAAAAGGATCGGGTCACGTAAAACAATTTTTAAATTAATTTTTAAATACTATTTTTTCTTGCATATATCAATACAATAATTTATAGAATTTTCAATCTCTCAATCAACGTAGATTTATGCAGGAAAAAAATATTAAATCGCATATATGTTTGTGCACCCTTAGACCATGCTTATTACTTTCATTGGAGACGCATATATGCGTCCGCAAAAACTCAAAGGATTAATTATATTATATTTTAAATTTGTATTTAAAAAAATGTAATTATTTACATTTGTTCGATAACAGAATAATATTTAAATTTCCTATCCATTAACTTCCTGTTGTCTTTTTGTATATTTATTTATCAATGACTTTTGTTATTTAAAAAAAAAAAGATAAATAAAAACCGATATAACAAATTCAAATTGATATCAGTATCAATTTTATTGAAATAGCCAAAGTATTTTACAAAGCAAACGCAATGCGAATATTCGTTACACGTATGGTTTTATAACAACATTTGAAATCATACAAATATCGGGTATGGGGAGAGTGTTGCTGTAAAAGAATATCAACGTAAATTTGCTAATAAAAAAAAAAAAAGAAAAAAAATAAAGTAACGCATCGTTCAGCGTTTTTTTTTGTTGCAAAAATGTACATTCGCATTCGTTAATTTCGTTTAGCAACAATTTATCAGTGATTCGCATTTACGTTGATACCAACAGTCAGCGTATTTTGAAACAATAAATTAGGTGAACTCGTAATTAGTGTAATAAATTTCGAAATGAAGTATTAAACGCTACCAACGCGTTTCTTTATATTTTTTTCAATTTGTTGCATAAAATAAAGTGACACAGTTTGTTTGGGAAAATTATTAAACACACTTTGTATAAAGAAGTAATACGATTGACAAAGTTTGTTGAAAAATGATCAAAAGAAAAACAAATGGTTTCTATTTTTAAATTAAATACTTTCTTAACCCCCTATCCTAATTCACATACAATATTTATCTACACAAATAACACACAAAAATTCTTAAACAATATTTACATAATTAGAATTTCATTAAATATTCATTTCGTGTTATAATTGAATAAATAACAAACCTATTTAACAAACATTATTCCCAATTGAACCTTCGAGTGATATAAACGAGTATATGCGTCCAATAAAAGCAATCTGCATTAACCAAGGACGCATATATGCGCTCATAAATTTATTTCAAACTTCCTTGGCTTGAAATATCATAGTTAAACATTAAAACAAAAATTAATAAATAAAATAAATGAAAAAATAAATAGAAAATATTGATTTGACTAATGTAATGAATAAAATGATTGACTAAACGAATAATTGGAATCCTTTCTGCCCAATTCCAATTGGTTCGTTTATTAGATCGATAATTAACCTGAAATTGTTTGACGTCACGATCTTCCTTCCCATCGTTTCCAAATTACAGGGCTTATTTTCGAGGATTACATTCCGCGAGCCCTTATTCGTTGGTGGACCAGGAAACACGAGCGGTTTGGAGAGGTTACCAGTTAGAACAGGATTCAAAGGTTGCATCCGACATTTGGAAGCGAACGAGCACCGTTACCGTTTCCCCTTAGCACCCCAAGGGGATGCAGCTAATGGTTTCGACGTTGGTAAGAAAATAAAATATAAAAAACAAACAAACAAACAAACAAACACCACCCATTTCACTCGCTTACGATTACTTTTTTTTTCTTCTTACTAATTTATTTTAACGCGTTTCCATTCTTTATCGTTGGTCATGAAACAAATTTTTTTTCCAAATGTATTACTTTGTTAATTTTTTATAATTAATTAATTTGTACAAAATTCGGGAGTAATAGTATTGACAAATTTTCAGACTATACGTTATCTACGTTTTAAGACAATTTTTATTCTACTACGAAATTAAAATTTGTTATTTTGTTCAGTGAATAGGAAAAAAAAAATATATAAAATTCGTGTTATCATTGTTATGATGAATATATCAGTTAGGGTTAAAAAAAAAATATTCAGAAAAAAACAGGCATAATAAAAAGAAATGAAAGAAGATTTGATAAAAAGGAACTAGCTAGTAATAAATATAATAAAATCGGTACTAGATACTACTATATATATATATCGTACCGGATTTTAATTACGAAAGCTGAAGGGACGTTTAATTAAATCACTCGAATTACTCGGCCCTTTTTAGAGGAATGCACGGCAGATAGGTGCAGCAAAGTGCCATGCGCCCATGGTGGAAAATGTCTGACAACCGGTGGTGATACTGCAGTATGTCTCTGTCCTCTTGGGTATACCGGTGATCTCTGTGAAACCAGAGTCGACCTTCAGGTAAATACATATTGCATTATTGATAATTTACCTTGCATTACATACCTTTTTATTTCTTTTTTGTATTTGTTTCAAATGAAACATCTCTAAATGCATTAACCGTTCATTTCTTCCAAAATTATTTCATTTATCCGTTCAATATATTTTCTGTCATATTTGTAATTATTTGTCAAATAAATTTGATCGTTCAAATGATACGCGACCCATATACGGGTCGTAAAGTTACGAAAAGGTTAATTAGTGATTTAAATATTATTTAATCGAATAATTAAAATATATTAAATATAATAATATATATTTAATTAAATGTCTATCATTTATTTTATATTATATTTTGTTATTAATTAATAAGAAAATATTTATAATAGTAGAATAACAGGTACAAGTATTGAGAGAGAGAAAGAAAAATCTTCATTGCCAAAAAAGTTTGTGGTACATGCGTGTCAAGGAATAAACGAGAAAAGAAAGAGGATGGTATAGTAACTTTTCCAGGAATGTTTTCTAATGGAATTCTTCGTCTAAACGAAAAAATTTCAAGTTTTTTTATTTTCTTACTGTCAGTGTGTTAGTGTAACACTTATATATATATATATATACAGGTACCTGTAAACTCGACGAAAAAATTCATCCCGACTTTTCTAATGGCTTTTCTTTATTTTCTTTCTTTTTATATATATTTTCTACGAGTATTTCGTTTATTTGTTTAAAAAGTTTATAAACAGAAATTGTGTTTCTCGTTATTCATTTTTTTTTTCTTGATCAAAAAGAAGATTATATAATTATAATTGTAAAACTAAACACGCGCGTGTATGTGTATGTGTGTGTGAAAAAAAAAAAAGAAAAAAAATGATTAATAAAAATACATTCTCGTTAAGAAATTATTCATGTTAATTGATATTTAAATGAATACCTTGTTCTCATGTGTATATATACACACATATCGATTTTATTTATTATTTATCTTCTTATCCATTTTTTATTATTTTTTTCTTATTCTACATCGATAGTATTTTATATCGCATAACATTTGGATAGAAATAAAGAAACGTTCGCAATGTTTTCCACGATATCATCGATTTTTTCCTAAGCAGAAAACCAATGTGGAACACACTGTCATACATTATTCAAAAATCTCAAATCCGTCGATTTTGCTATAAAGGGGGATGATCGTTCATATAATATTAACTTGCTCGAAGTAGAAGAAAAAGAAAAAGAAAAAAAAAAAAAAAAAAAAAAAAAAAGAAAAAAAGAAGAAACCACGTATCAACTATGTATAATTAATGTGTATGTTAGACTGAACGCAAACTTATTTGAAAATTTATCACGTGTCTTTCAATCATTTAACAAATGATATGCAGATATGCATTAAATTATTATTATTATGAATAATTATATCAATCTACGATGAAACAAAAAATGATGGTTATATTGACGACTTTAAAAAGAAAATTATTATTGACTCGTTCAACTTTCAACTTCTATCGATCGTTTCGAAAATAGGTTTTTTCTTTTATTTTTTTTTTTTTTTTTTTTATAGAACGGAAAATTAAATTAGAAACTCAATACGATCGGAAATTTGATTATTGTTTTTGTTTTTTTATATTTCTATATCAATAAATCATACGAATCTAATGGAAATATTATTTTAAAATATATATTATTATATATCAGATGCATTTTGTTTTTTTTATTATCAATGATTCATATAGAAATAATATATGATACGTATTAATTAATATAATTGTTTTTTTCTTTTTTTTATAAAACAATAGTAAATAAAATGAGATGTAAATTAGAACGAATGACTCTTAAAAAATCAATTAAAAAAAAAAAAGAAAGAAGAGAAGTTAAGAATTCATTAGGAATAAAACAGTTTGTGATAGTAACGATCGAAGTATGCTAATTACAGGTTGAATAATTAAGTTTACACATTCGTACTCTCTTGACGAATTGTAGAATACTCAGTTGGTATTTGTCGATATTTCTCGATGTGTTGGTTAGTTGAATGTGCATATATTAAGTACGTCTTTTTAGATTAGGTTTTCGGTTGTTCATTTAAACCATGTGTATCACTAATAGGTGAGATAAAAAAAATAAATAAACATATATATATATATATCTAGATGAAAATGTATGAGGTATGAGAATGTTTAAGTGATATCAGCTAGGTGTAATTATTAACATTAAAGCTAGTGGTTTTGACTAATAGATTAACTCGAGTAAATATTAGGTAAGCTCGACCAACCAACGTTTATCATGCCAGCTACAGGCCGAATTTCCAATTCATGGTTTACACACGCACACGGCACATATATATACAGATGATGTTTACTCTCGTACAAACATACAAACAATATATATATATATATATATATATATATATATATACTACACCTCATTGTTCCGGATAGATTCAAGAATGAGCAAACATTTAGTTTTCCCGAGCATGCGTTTTATATCTATCTCAAAAAATGAGTCTTAACAATTATACAAATATTATATATTCAGAGAACAATATATTTAACCCTTTGAGTGTGCTATGAACTTATATATGCGTTTAGTAAAAATTGATACGCGTGTGTTTATCAATGTTAATGTAAAATAATGTAATATTTTAGTTGTATTTTGTCAAATGAAAATAATATTGTTGAGAAAACAAAAATTGTAATTATTAATATTAGAATTTGGTTACATTAATAATAAATTATTTCATTCGTAGAAAACAATTCGATTATAAAAGTATTCATCACTCAAAGGGTTAATATCTTAACAAATATTTGTTTTTCTTTGTTCGTTATTTTCGAACAATTGTATATCACTCTGTTATCGATAATATTAAATATATTTGAACTAAAATATATTTTTTGATCGTGATTGTTAAACGATATGATAGAAAATTTCTTTGATTATATTTTATCTTTGTTATTGAACACGTCTCTCTTGTTGACGCAATAAATTCACTTTAATCCGTTAACTAAACTCTCTCTCTCTCTCTCTCTTTCTATATATACCTCTTTGTCGTTCAACCAATCGAAAATCAAAACTACTTTCAGTACTTAAAGACTGTGACTAGATTAATAGCTCTTTGGATAATGGGGAAACTATCTCTTATCTTATTGTTACCATGCGAATCTTTCCCCCTTTATACACCCCACTGCCCCCCCCCCCCACCCCACCCCAACACATCCTTCTTTCCCTCTCAAGACGATAGAAATCTTCCAAAGTTTCTTCCTGAAATTGAGTACTTACTTTCGTCCTTCGTGGTTGATTATCTTTTTCGATTTCGTTTTTCTTTTTCTTTTTATTTTCTCAAATGGAGAATAAGATTGGATAACAATTGTATCAAATATTTCAATATCCTGATCAAAATTCTAACTGATGACGTATATATGTTACTTTGTAAGATAGAAATTGGATAATGTCAAGATTCACATGGTGAAATGTTAACACTTATCAAATACGTCCACGTGAGACAGAATATTGAAATTATTTTCTTGTACGTGTTAATATTTCGGACATATACCAAGCTAATCTTGACATTACACCATATAAATCTCGACATTATCCAATTTCGGTCTTTCACGAGAACATATACGTACACCAGTTTCACAATTTACTTTTTGCATGAGTATTTGTTTCACGCAAAGCATTTTCCTCAATTTAATTCCTACATCAAAGACTTTATTCAATTCAATTTTGTTTCGTTAACGTGAGAAAAAAAGAAAAAGATAAAAAATAGAATGAAAGAAAGAAAGAAAGAAAGAAAGAAAGAGATAGAAGAGACTGACTAATGAACGAACCTTGACACTAATGGGCAGAGTATTTGCCTTACACGTAACATCCACTTCCGCAGTTTTCGACCTCTAACTTATTACAGCGATTAAACGTCTTAAAGGGATTTCTGACATTGTCTGCATAGAGAATAAAGCTACCCTATGCATGTTGAAACATTGCTAAGGTTTACTGTTCATTCAGAAAGGAACACAAATTACATCTAACCCTCTTATTGCTTAATAACAAACGTTTATTATTCTTAAGAAAAATAATTCATTAAATTACAAATACGATAAGATGATTAAATGTGATATAAGGATAGTATTATTAAGAAAGCAAATAATAATCGATAATATTTTATCATGTTTTTCATTGTTCACCAGGTTATTACGATGTTTTCATAGTTTTTCTATTTTTTTTTTCTTTTTTTGAAAAGATAAGTTATCAAATTAAAAGTATTAAAAACGTGTAATTGGTCTGATAACGAATTTAATGGAATTGTTTTTGATCTAAATATTTGATGTGCGTGTTATGACATGACATACTTATTTTAAAATCAGATAAATTACGTAGGGGATAGACAAGTTTTAATAGTCATTGATAATTACAGTTGCGAGTTATCCATAATACATCGGTAAAGGAAACTTTAGGTGCCCCTTGTGGGATGCAACCCGTTGTACGTGTAAGTTTGCGGGGTTAGTCATACATAAGGATCTTCTTATTAAATAATAAAATCGAAATGTTAATCGTTCATCAATTTTTAATCAACTTTTCTTATACCTTAGATAAATATTAATAAATTATAAGTTAAATAAATAAATATAAGTATTACGAAAGCGTAATGAAAATAACTTCGAGGGTTGATATTTAATGTTACGCGAGAAAATAATTTATGTATAATAATTATATTTATTTACGCGAAGGTACACTTAACACGTGTATTTCTGTTTTATTTGACAGGTACCATCGTTTAATGGGTCATCCTATTTACGTTATCCAGGATTAGGTGATACTTCACTCTCCTGGCTAGAATTATCTGTGACCTTAAAGCCTACGGCTCCCGATGGTGTAATCATTTACAATGGGCACCATAGCGATGCTTCCGGTGATTTCATCGCTCTTTATCTTTCCTCGGGATACGTACACTTCACATTTGATTTAGGAACTGGTGCAGCTACTTTAAGGTCTATCTACATTTATATATATATATTAACCCAAAAAAAAAGAAAAAATAATTATAAATAAATATATGATAAAAACTGATCACGGCAGAATTGAAAAAAAAAAACGAAAAGAAGTGGAATTTCTGTAATCTTTTTTTTTTACATTTAATAATAAAATTAGAAATGTAATTTTATATTTAAAAAAAAGGAATTAATTTTGATGTTAAACGATTGTTATAATTAGTATTTTCAATTCTAACCATAGTATTTTGATTATTGGATTATTTCAGGAGCGACAATCCAATTCGTTTAGGTGAATGGCTGGAAATCAAAGTATCAAGAACAGGTCGTTTGGCATCCCTCAACGTCGAGAACGATCTAATTCGAGAAATCCTGGCACCGGGAGCTTTCACACAATTATTTTTACCGCTTAATCTTTATCTCGGTGGTGCACCATCTCCCGATCTTTACTCGCTCAAGCTTAAAACAACCAGCAGTTTCGTTGGATGCATTCAAAGCGTCATTCTTAATCGACGCGAGGTAATTTTACTAAATTCAATTACACATTATCGCGGTTTAATTTTAAATAAGAATATTTCTTTTCACTAAATATATATAACCCACTTTTTATATGTGATAACAAATAGAATAACATTTCAAATAATAGTCAATAAGTATGTGCATAAATAACTAGATGGTTTCCAAAGTTACTAGAATATTTATAATTGGAAATATCATTTGTGTTCTTTCATAAACGATTAATTTTTCATTGATTTTGTTGATTGTATTATTCAAATGGCAACGGTCTGGTAAATTTTGTACCACCCTCTACACGAATCGAATATTAACTTGTTCGAACAGTAATTTAGTTCTTTTTTTTTTACAGATAATATGTGGACCGTTTATTTTGAGAAAAAATATGGAAATGCAACTTGTAATTTTCCCATATATATCCATTAATTTATTGAATTTAAGTTATTTTCCTTAAATATCATTTTTGTTTTAATATAAAAATAAGATTCTAACCAATTTTCATAATCAATCGCTAAGTAATTTCATATATTGGTCTAACTTTGAACAAAACATTAGCACTTTTTAATATATTAAAAGAAGAAAAAAAAAATCTGTATCCGAAGTAAACTAAAAGAAAATTAATATATATGGGGTCCCTAGTCCACGCGGATTACTTTCGTTGTATTCAAAGGGTTAAAAAAAAAAAAGAAAGAAAACTTAAATAAATGGATTAACTTAGAAAATAAACGGTCGACATTTAATCAGATATTTTTCGATCGATCATTTTATGTATTTTTCACTGAATTTTTTTTTTATTTTTTTTTGTTCGAAAATTATATTCGCGTGTCATTTGATTGCAGATTGGTATCTTGGCTGAGGCCTTGGGTGGTATGAACGTTGGAAATTGTGGTCACGCTTGCGAGGCCAGGCCTTGCGGAGATGCTGAATGTCGACCTCTGCGAGATCGATTTACATGTCGATGTCATGCTGGTGTACCCCATCCATGCCCAATTTTGGATGATTATACGTTGTTAACGTCTGTGCGTGCTGGTACTAACGTCAACCTGCCACCACCAACGATATTTCTAAATTCTGTACCTAGTTTTACAGGAAGTGAAAGTTATCTTCATTATAATGACGCTGATACTATGAAAAGGTATATACAATTATTCAATACAAATATATGTTATATTAAATTAAATTAAAAAAAAAAAGTATACGTTATTGCTAAAAAAAAAAAATTAAACCCTACCCAAGTGAGAGATCAAATGATCGCGTTTTTTATGCAATTTTTATTAAAATATAATAAACACGTATGGAAATATATATTATATCATATTTTTGTTTTGATTATACAATTGGCTAAAATCACATTAAATATTAGAATAAATATGATTGTTTTTTTTTTTGGTTTGTAAACGATTATTTGACAATTAACAATAGGAATAATGTTAACAATCGACAAAACTTGTTATCCTTTATGTTCCAGGATAATAAGTTACAGAGTAGACATTAATATGAGATTCAGAGCAAGCAGCAGTAGTGGTTTATTACTTTGGAGTGGCCGACATTCGGATCCTCAAGAACAAAAAGATGAAAACGATGATTTCCTTGCACTGGGTTTGGACCAGGGTTATCTAACATTGGCATATAATCTTGGCTCAGGTGAAGCCATTTTAAAATACAATCTTACAAGGCTGGACGATGATTTGTGGCATCGAGTTAGGGCCGTCAGGTGACAACATAATTATCATTACAAATTATAATTATAATTTATAGAAATTATTTTAAAAAATTATTTTATATTAAATAAAATATAAATATTAATATAAAAAATAAAATGAGATACGTTTGATTTTTAGAAACGAACAATGGGCATCTCTCGTAGTTGACAGTGGTACAGGTGTGTCAGCATCTTCCCCAGGTCAATTAAGACAATTAAACACCGACACAGGTTTATACGTTGGTAAGAAAAATTCATTCAAACAAAAAGCAAAAACAATAAAAATTATTATATATATTTAATTTAAAAATAATTATATATGTATTTGATAATAAAAAAAAATAATATAATTGTTTGAATAGGTGGTGCACCGGATATTATTAAAACAACAGGTGGAAGGTATACTAAAGGTATCGTAGGGTGTATCAGTGATCTGATATTAGACTCAGATTTATCAGTACCATTATCATCACCAGGACAAGCAACCAATACGCATTCGTGTATTCCTTGAAATAGAATCCTACCGTTTAGATTAAAAATGATTGGGCCTTTCGTAGATTATATTTAAAGGCTATGAAAAACAACAGAAATTTTCATTAACGGAAGAGACTTTTTTGCGAAGATGATTGTGCAAAAGATAACGATGACGAACATTGATCATGACATTACAATGACCATGATCAAAATTCAAAAGTCATGGTCAAAGTATTACGACGACCATAATAATGGAACTCTCTCTTTTTAATCTTTCTTTCTATGGTTTTTATTTTTATTCCAATCTTAGAGAGTTTACAAAAAGGTAATTAATAATATAATAATATATATTTCGAACACGTCAATATATTAAATAAATAATGAAAATAAATGAACGTGGTGTGTTGTAATACTTTGAGAATTCGTCGATCGTTTTTTTTTTTATTGGTGTTTTTCAATTTATTTTAATTTCTTTTTTTAATCTATGTGACAAACATCTTATTGGTCTATGGTTTATACCAAATCATATACATTTATATCAAATTTCTTATTTTTCCTTTGAATTATATTCATTCAAAAATGACCACGTGTGTGCGGATGATAGGAGAACGGATGATGGACGAAGGATGATTATTAATAAACCATAAACATTCGATTAATTATATATGGTACACGAGATGTAAGAAATTCGTGGGCCTAAAAAACAATTCTTTTTCTTTTTTTTTAATATAAGGCAAAGGAATAGAAATATTATATATAAAAAAAAAAGGGTTACACGGTGTAGGCAGGACAGAAAAAAAATCCCTCCATTGTCAATTTTTATTAAAAAAAAAAAAACGCCCTCCGTACACCGGTGAATAATTAAACGAAAGAAGAAGAAGAAGAAGAAGAAAAGGGAATAGGAAAGAAAAAAATAATTGAACGAACAACGCGACAAAATAATAATAATAATAATCAAATTAATAAGGGAAGGTAACAAAAAAATATAATACACCCGCGTCGTTTCAGGGTCATCGAATGAAAAAATACATACATACATAGATACATGTATTATTAACAAAATACATATACTTATCCATGTATGTACGTATTTAAAAAAATATTAAAAAAAAAAATTGAGCACTGCTGGCAAATTTTCTTGGCACGTAAATACATGCATACATACATGCATATATGTGTATACATTAACGTGGATTGTCACTGCAAGTTACCCACACACACACACACACACATCATACATACATACATAAATACATACATATACATATACCAACGACGATGAGATAACGATTATGATAACGACGAGACTATGATTATGATTATGATTATACGACTACCTACTAACACAATGATAAGGTGAATACGATGTATCTTTTTATCGAGGTAGAATTTTTACGACGCAATTTCCATAGCGATTAAGGTACACCAATATAAAACACATTATTATTATTATTATTATTATTATCATTCGTGCATACACATACTTATATAATATACAATTCGTGTATATGCATAAAGGGTAGAATTGTTTTTTTGTTGGTTTTTTTTTTTTTTTTTTTTTTTTT